GGATTGAGTTAATATTTTTTGGATGATTGCAATTGGTTACTCCAGTTTTCTCCCTTCCTTCTCCCGGTCTTCCTTCACCGGGCCACATTTGCCCCTATAAGCTACACCTGCAGCGTGCTTTCTTTTAAAAGGCCAGCAAACATTTTGAGCCCTTGATATTTTCTATAATTTCCCAGTGGGCTGTTCCGATGCCGGCGTCTTTGTTGAAAACACCTGTCCTCCTCTTGAACAATGAGCCACGTTTTGATCCAGAACAAACTCCCTGAGGGGCACACAACCTTCAAGCCTCCACTAGCGGGTATCTAGTGTCCACTGTCGCCTGTGAATGGTAGAAAGCTGTACAGAAAAACAAGCACATACATTCACAGAAGGTCTTTTGTAGCGAAGAATCACATACCTAATTGTAGTATTACTAATTCTGCAATATTGTATACACACACTCACGAAAACCCCACAAAACAACGTTTGTCTTCTGTTGCGCAACATTTATTATTATCCCTTTGCAAGATCAGAAGGCCAGATTACAATTTAATGACAAATTACTCTATGTGTATGGACAAATATGGACATTCTTCTAAAATTTGGTGCACACTGGGGTAGTCTGGGGGTATATACATGCTTCACAATGAGGTTTTACTGCAAATGACAAATACATTCTTGAATCTTGAATCTTGAAAAGCAGAGTAAGTGACAAAAAATAACAAAGTGTAATTCATTACTGTCTATATAACACATTACTGTTGTAGGTGGATGTTTTGCAGCTTGTGGAAGACTCAGTTCGAGGAGAGCATCTAAGCTGGATTCAGATCCAACCTGCCATAGGGCTCTGGTCCCAATCCAGGAGCTGCACTGAGGGATAAGACCTTTTTACAGGATCAAGTGCAGAAATCCACTCAGGCCATCCCTTTAGAGCAGATAAGATGCTCTTTAGGATGGCTCCAGAGAATTTATAGACATTCTAAATAGCCTTAGCCCAAGACACTGATGGTTGCCTCCAGGAGTGGGGCTGATTTCTGATCTGCTTCTTGGCTCACCTCGTAACCCTGTCATTAGATGGTTTTAGCCTGCACGCTGTTGTTTGGTTTTGTTTGCTCTTCAGGAGAGGACAGTAAGATCATCTGTCTGCACACTTGCGTCTCCATCTGTTTCTAAAGTGCCTTGGTGCATTTTATAAAAGTCACATACTGTGTAACTTTGGTCAAATGAAGTCAATTCTTCAGCTCCACTAATAAAATCGGTGTGAATACTTTCTCTAAAAGGCTATTTTTGAAAGCTTTTAGTGCTCACCCCTGCCTGCCCTGGACGAATGAGGGGTTACTCACAAATATTTGACAAAGTGAAGTGTATTGTATCGCCGTCTCTGCAAGACTCATCTTTTCTTCTTTTTTTCATCTACACCAGAGATCTTACAAATGGTCTAGTATAGAAGAGAAATAACCACATGTATTTTCTTATCGCGTTCGAAACTGCTGGTGATAGTTGTTGTATAAAGGCAAAAACATACCCACATGTTATACTTTAATGCATCACGTAGATTTGTCAAGTTCTGTTTTGCGGAGGTGCTTTTCGTTCAGCAACCTTGACTTATTCTTGACAACCATGATTGGCATTAAGAGATTCGTGGGTTTGAGGCTGAGAAACGCACTGTTGCTGTAAAACACTTAACAATTCAAAGCTAAATGTTGTATCTTTCCTGCGAAACAAATAATTCAAAAAGGCACCGACAATAGGAAGATGACACCCGCGAGCATAAGAGAGTGTTTATGTTCAGAGAGCTACAGTAAACAGACACTGTCATCTGTTTGGGCGGCAGACAGGACTGTGTTAACAAAGAGCACTCTGGGTAATTGTCTGTGATGTCCAGTGTTCTTGTGAAATGACATAGTGCAGCCGAATGTTTGTGTGTCTAATGAAGACCTATATAATGTAAACCACTGCTTGTGCTGCTCGGCTGGATTCCACAGACAAACTCATGTTCAATTGAAATAATTCATTATTCATTTGTTCAAGGTCATTTTCTTTATTTCTGATGATACAAAATTATTGGAGTTATAATGAGTACGAGGCAGCTTTGGAAACCTTGGAGATTTCATCAGCCGACAGCACACATGAGAAATCGTATCAATTCTTTCGTTTTATACTGGATTCCTCACATATGGTCAGAGCAACCACTTTTATTGTACCCTATTTGTATTCTACATGAACTTCTGCTAAACTGGAATGGAAAAGTGTACTGCAACTTTTTACATATTCTGGCCCTGAGTTTCATAACGGATAAGAGGTGCATAAAGAAATTAAACTTGTCAAATTTACACGTTAAAGTTGTTTGCTTCCTCAATAATGGTTCCAAGACAATACAGGAACTATTTTGTGGGTCTGGGTGTGAACGATTTTTGAACTCCTAGTTCATTGATTCAACCAACCACATCCAAGACACTGCAGGATCTGCAAAAGGACCACCCATCAACTTTTTGGTAGAAGAAAAAAAAATATATATATATATTGTTTCTAGTGACATGACATAAGTCTAATTAGGTACATGGTGACTATTCACAGCACAGGTTCAGCCAACATATATACAATGTTGCCTTACTTTGTTTTAAATGCTTGAAAAACACATGTTTAGATCTCTTGCAATAACCCACCAGATAGCTAATCAGCCCCAAACAAATTTTCAATATTTTTTTTGAAAAAATAAAATGGGGAACCCTGAGCAGACTTCCACTTGCAGCTCCATAGGGACCATCATTATTAGATCTTCTTTCCTTCCATGCTCCAAAGTGCATGATTCTTTGAGCTGCAGCATGTATTCAGCACAACTCTCAAATCCATATGTCTACACACGCAGTCACACAAGTTACACACGGCAAAGTCAAACAAGAGCCGTGCACGGAGCAGAAAGGGCAAACCCAAAACCCATATCTATAAAATTCTCTCCCGACGTGCACTGCTTATCTTGTGCTCATGAACTGTGCAAATGCAACTATGAGGATTAGAAAGCACAACACACAGTATATCATCATATGAGGTGGTGTCTGAGAGATGAGATAAGGGGCTTAGGTGAAGGGGGGTGCCTATGGGGTGTTTCTCTGACTGACATGGTCGCTCTGGGGTAATCCTGCTAATCCTTCGCTCGCTCGGGGTGTGGAGGGACCCGACAGCCTTTGACCCCACCTCACACATCCTCGCACCCTTTCCTCTATCTATCCATCTTCGGATGCCCTGAACTTGCACTGGCATTTCAGAAATCTCCAGCCGTGCAGCCTGAGACACATCAGCCGTGAGCCAATTATTAACTTTTTATGGATTCTCAAAAATGACCAATGATGTGTGCTCAGGACAGGCTGTTTGCCGAATGGACAATTAAAGGGCATAAAGGACTATTCAAAAGATATTGACATTGAACATTTTAATCATTAGGATTGAGATATAGTTAATAAAACGCTTTTCAAAATTGAAATGAATGGGCTATTCATACTGGAAAATGACTGATATGAGAAAGCCGGCATACATATTAAGATTGGCAAATAGGGCAATAGTTGTTTCTAATCGGGTGCAGCTGTTCTGCCTAACATATCCCACAGGTATAGATAGAAAGATTATTTAAAAGGCAATTCTACATATATTGGCCTATGCTACATTATGGACCAGATTGTACATTGCTTCAGGGCCAGAAATTGTCCATTTGCATATAATTTGGCGTTACATAGAATTTCACAAAAGTCTTTTCAATTACTATTTTGCTAGCCTGGTTGTACCACACCATAGTACAAATTTCATTTCATACTAAGGTCTGGATTTGCTCCATTGAGCTCCGTGAACAGGTGGGAGGGGTTAACTCCTTTTGCAGATTGAAACGATTGGATCTGAGTTTACCGTGATGTATGCAACGCGGCCGAGTGAGTTGTTAGCATTAGCATTTAGCCTAGCCATCTCCTTTGCCGCTAACGGAGCCCGTGGGGAGTAGCGCCACAATCTTGACCAGCGATTACATTAGCTAAACATTCCTCTTGCTCCTGCTTCAATTTCTTGATAGAACCAGACCGGATTACTTTACTATCGCATTCTTCGCCATTGCCAAACCTGCCCGTTCGGCGCAAACTCTTGACGTCACCGGCACCGACCTACAACGCGCTCTCTGAGTAGCCGTTCGAAATACAACCGATTGTATTCGCTAACACAGGGACCGGACCCAGACGCTACATGCAGTGAAATGATGATTGAGCGGAGTGTACTGTACGGATGGCTATGACCAGGCTACTATTTTGCCATTTAAACAGTGTTTTAAAACGTCTTAATGAACTATGATTTTGAGATTATCAGTCGGGTTAGAATGCATTTCCATGTTATTTTAATTGGCAGAAGTGAACTTGGTACACTTTATAGTGCCAAGCATTTATAATCTATGCAATATAGTTTGTGTAATGTATAGTTCAAAGGTGAAAAATAACCCAAGGGGAAAAAATAAAAATAGTCCATACACTCACAGTATAGTAAAATATCTATGATTATTTGTAACGTTTTTCCTGTTTAGTTCGTTGTAAATGACTCTATAATTTGCCTTGTTTTGAAAATATTCTGTCAGTGCCTTTATTGTGAAAGGTCCCACCGGAACTCGCTCAGTCCCCTCACGCTCTTGACGCAGGAGCGTGTCCAATGAAGATCACTTTGTGCCGCGGTGCCGTGCGCTCACTCAGATCCATGTGATGGGAGCGTAAAGTGCTGCGCGCATCGCTCAGGTGCACTTTTTCAAACCAACTCAGCCATTTCCACCTCACTCTGAAGTCCACCTGGATCAGCCTATGTCTTTTAGAGAAGTTCAAAGAAATCATGATTCGCAAGTAGTTGAGTTTTCTCTTGGATTTACGCGATGGCAAAGATGCTTGGGGTTTGGGGTGTAACTTTTGCACCGTGGTCTTATGGAATATAGCCCGATATTAAGCAGCCTACATGTTGTGCCATCACCCCACGTGAAAAACAAACTTTTGGTGTTTTGCATCATGCTGTCGCTGTGGGTCTACATGATCTACTGCTGCGTGGGCTACTGCTCCACGGTGCCCAGCCTCAGGTACGTGAACAGACACGGGAAGGACGTGGACGCGGTGGAGAGCGCCGGTGCGTCCAGGGACTTACTGAACAACAACTACAACGATGTGGACAGCAGAGGCGAGGAGTGGGACGAGGCGAAGGCGCTGGAGGATAATGCCCTGTCAGGTTTTCTCAATGAGTCCAAGAAGTTACCCCAGGCCATCATCATCGGGGTGAAGAAAGGAGGGACCCGTGCGCTGCTCGAGTTTCTGCGCCTGCATCCAGACGTGAGAGCCGTGGGAGCAGAGCCACACTTCTTTGACCGCAACTATGACAAGGGCTTGGAGTGGTACAGGTAAATACACGCAGCACATTCATACTGAGAAGAAGCTTACATGGGAAAAAAAACCTTAAAGTTGTCAAATAGCATCTCATATAAGTCAATTAACACGTGTTGATGTTAATGTTGTTGATTAAGGTTCAGTCCTTGAAGAAAGCAATGTCAAGTTATCTTTTGATCATTTGTAAGACATAGGAGCACTAAAAACACCAATTAGCACTAATAATTTGTAAAAGCCTAATTTTTGAATTATATACCAATGGTTGAGATGCAGTTTGATAGTAAATGCGGTGCCCTTAACCAAGTGATAGAGATGCCCAGCAGTGAGGTAGATTTCAGTTCCAAGAATGATTCATGTAGATTGTGACTCAAAAAGTGTTCCACCAAATGGTCAAGGAAACCATAAAAAGGGGGAGAACAACAATAACAACACAACAAAAACAAAAATCACATCATTTATTGTTCTATCCTAAAGAGTGAAGATTCCATTTTTGGTGCAGCTCTAATCCATGGGTAAAATAGGTAAGAAAAGAAGAAGAAGAAGAAAAAAAGCAAAACAAGTAAAAATACAGCATTTTCCCGATCAGAAGTAATTCATAAGATTTTTTGACAGCAGTTCTTGTCTTCTGGGGGGAACAAGTCAAAAACGTTGCCCAAAGAGTCCCTTTTGAAAGCGTCTGTTATATAGCAGTTATCATAAGCTTAAGTGAGCTTTGTGGCATCTGATGTACTAAGCTCTTGTTTAATAGGTCTATATTTGTATTGAATAAACACCATGTACTTTTACTTTAATACTTCAAAAACCTCAGAGGATCGGCTGTAATTGCACTTAAACCAGACATGGCCAAACTCGCCCACAGTAAGACCGAACATCTCTGCGAACATTGATTTCTTTGTTTGCATAACTTTCACCCAGTGCACCCAGCTGTTTGTCTATCTGCCCCCTGACTCGTGTTTTCAATAAATTATGCATTTTTCTCCAGAGATTCCAGTTATCTCCCCCTTTGAAAATGAAAAACGTCCCTATTGCAAAACCATCCTCAAACACATGTATTTGCACAAACTTCTGTCATGGCCATATACTTGTTTGACATGATTTGCTCATGGAAGGGGCGTCATCAATGCAAACTTGGGATAAAGGTGAAGCAGAGGTTTTTTTTTTAAGCGTCCAATCATCTGAGTTGGAGGAGTAGAAGTAAAGCAGTAGGGATTAACATGGCGTTTCAGAGCAGGCACAAAACAATAGCCATGTCAAAAGACCTTCTCGCTAAAGACACATCAACAATATCTCAGCCATTTTTTTATTGCGTTTTGTATTGGTTCTCAATGGTCAGGATATGTTACAGGTAGGGCTGGGCAATAAATCGAATTTTGGCAATTAATCGGCTTTTGAAAAAATCGAATTCGTGAAAAATGTGAAAATCGTGAAATCGAATGAGGGATATTGTGAGAGTTCCAGCAGCACATCAATTATACTTGCGATATCAGCACAGTCTGTACAAGACTTTTATAATATGTATTGGGGGAAACAAATAAAAAAATAGTTTTTAAACTTAAATATTGAGCGGGAAGATAAAAAATATTTTAAGGGCAAAGTCTGTCTTGAGTGACTTTAATGAAAATCGATTTAAAATCAACATCGTCCAAAGCAGGAAATAAAATCGAGATTATACTTTTTTGCCATATCGCCCAGCCCTAGTTACAGGGTCTTTGGCTTGGATACTTCCATAGGATGAATGGATAAATATGATATGAGTGATAACATGTGAAACGATGCCCGACTTAGCAGAAGAGATGTGGCTAATTAAAAGTACTTAGCTTGAGTTGTCCCAGTAAGAGGGCAGTGGCCACAGACTGACCTAGTATAAAAGAGCAGTGTGACACCACCAATTCCTGATGACCGTCAAGTGAAAGAATTATTCAGGCTTGAAGATTCAGCTGGACATGGTTTCCCAGATTAGCCATGTTTTCGTGTTTTACTTTTTCCCATGTACTACTGAGCTCACGTGGGACTTTTACTACTTTTAGGCAATTTGTTTTCTGCATGAAGAAGGAATGATCTGGGATATACAGTAACATAGACATGTACATTTTTCCAGTTTGAGATGAATAAAGTTTATCTTATGTTAGTCATTATTATGATTAGGGTATACTTTAGTGATCCCTATAGGGAGATTTGTCCTCTGCATTTGACCCAACCTACAGTACAATGAGATAAGGAGATTTTTTTTTCAGAAATGTGATGTGAAACAGACTAAAGTTACAGGAGATAGAGGATTACTAAAATCAATAACAGAAATAAATACAAGGATAATGTGTTAGAAAAATGTAGAGAAACGCTTGTGGAAAGCCAGGTTACGGTATAAAAGGCGTTCAAGATTAAAAAGATCATGTGTTAATTCTGCTACTTTGGCGCCTAAAGGTGCCATTCTAAAACTAGACTTGTTATGTCATGGTGTTTACTTTCTCAGATGAGTATTGTCTCTCATTGGGTTTTTTAAAGTAAATTATCGGCACTGTGGCTGAGTGGATAGCACTCTCGCCTCTCGCAAGAAGGTCCTGGGTTCGAATCCTGGTCGGAACAGGGCCTTTCTGAGTGCAGTTTGCATATTCTACCCGTGTCTGCGTAGGTTTCCTCCAGGTACTCCAGTTTCCCCTACCACTAAAAACATGTAAGTAAGTAAGTAAGTAAGTAAGTTTTTATTTATATACCGCCTTTTCACTGCAGATCTGAGTCTCAAAGCGGTTTACAATTGTGTAATTGTAAACCGCTAAACATGCTAATTGTAAACATGTGTAACAATAAAAACTATGTGGAGTGAGAGACAAATGTCCAAAGAATAACAATTGTAAACTGCTTTGTGATTCTGGTCTGAGAAAGGCTGTATATAAATAAAACCCAGGAAAATGCAACATTATAATCTGCATCTACACTGCAAAAATGATAGTAATTAATGATATGTAATTGCTTGGATTGAGTGTTTTTTATCTTAATTTGAGCACGACTGTCTTACAACCAGATTTGCCAACAATTCAGTCTTTTTTAAAGAACTGTCTCTTTATTTTCTCATTCCAAGGGAGACATTTCTTGTATCTTTTCAAAACAATCATTGTGCAGATCCCATTGGCAAATCTTGTTTTTAGGCAGTTTAAATATTCTCAAATTAAGACACATTTAGCCAATTTTGAGCAATTTTGGACTTATTTTTCATCACCTTTTGCTGTGTATTTTCTTATTATTATTATGTAGCTGTCACTGCATTTAGCTAAAGTTATAGTGGCGTGCAAAACATCCCCATTGTTACGAGCCAAATGCACCGGGTGACACACTACATCTGTGTTTTGTCAACTTTGCCCCATGTTTCACCACAGCACCTCTGCATAAATAGCAGTCAGTCAGTGCTGGGTGGGCTCATGGACCCCCGCAGTGGTATTAAGTCGTCCTCGCACACATTTATCTGCTGTGATTGGTGTGTCTGTGGCGCTGGAGGTCTTCTGTGTTCATCCTTATGGAGAGAGGAGGCCCCCCAACTCAGCGGGACAGCGGCACAATACAGACACTCTCTGCCACAACACAGAGGCAAACGTGCATGAGTCAAGTCCTCAAGTCGTGGGAACTGGTGCTTTACTGTCACGTTTATTGTAGATTATTTCTGGAAATGATCGGTACATGATGATTATTGTCGTTGTGTTGTTTTAAAGAGCAACAACTTCTGCACAGTCCTGTCACAAAAACACATTCTGATTGTCCACATAAAAGGATCATAGGTCATAGACACAGTGATAGAGCGGGGATAATTCATGTATTCAACTTTTTTTCATATATATAGAGCTATTTTTTTCTATTCAGAGTTACTTTTATTATATTTTATAATTTCTTTGTTTGTTTAGGCTTTACGGCAGACATGTGAGGGGATTTTATAGTTAATTACTCTATTTGTAGCACTTTGGGAACAGTTGGTTTACAATACGTGCTATACAATTAAAGTGGATATAATTTGAATTGTTGCAACCCATTTTTAAATCGAGATAAAACCCGTCCCACTTTTATAGAGAACATTTCAATCTTCTTAACTTTATGCAATCAAATGACCATAAATATTGGCTATAAAATATACCATCTGTTGTATAAAAGTTTGTATTGAGTAGTTATCAGGAGTTATCATTTTCAAGAAGTTTCTCAATTTCATAGTTAGAGCCAAGAGAAGTGCATTTATTTTCTAGTTACAAAGGTTTTGCTGATTCACTTTCAACAGAATGTGTAATCATATTTCATGTTTGGCTTTTGAGACCTTTGGTGTTCTCTTTGATAAAAAAAAAACTACGGATGGAAGTTTCAATTATCTCTGCACTTCTGTTAGAAATAAAAAACCTGAACCTTTTTCCATAATGCATTTATGATTCTCCCTCCTCGAGTATGTCCAAAATGAAGATGTAATCCCCCCCAAGAGCCCAGTGGGAAGTCAGTGCAGCCCAGTGGAAGATAGAGGGCAGCACATTGAAAACCAGTCTTAAGAGAGTGCAACAGTATTATGGAGTGGGATAAAAGAGGACGCTGGAGGACCCCTGGGGACTGCATTAACCCCGACAATAAAAGAGCAGACAATTAGTGTGAAACATGTTTTTTCTGACTCCACTTTGTATGCAAATGTGCTCTGAGGGGTGAAAGTGGCCTTTGACAAAACTCAGCAGGAGCTCATCAAAAAAAAGGCATTCATCGAAATCTTCCCCCAAAAAAGAGCTTTCCCTCAGCTTCCCCCAAAAGTCGACTAAGAATTCTTCTGTTCAAAGTTGCACATCCCTTGAGTAGATGCAGCTCAGCCTTATAGAGGTGTTTGATGTGAGACGCTTTGCTTACTCAACACTCTGAGTGACAGTTTAGTGACAGGAAAAGCGTCGAATGATACAAAATGCTTCCACCAAGAATCTTAACAGTATCTAGACATAAGCTGGGGTTACAATGTGTTTGTTGATGTCCATGTTGTATATGTGACAACCAGTTGTGTTCCGCTTGC